ATGGGTCACGAGGGAAGGACATGACATCCTCGATGAAGATGGCGAGCAGACGTTCGAAGCGCGCCCGATCAACACCAAGGTGCTCGTCGAGTTTCGTTCTTATGGGGAAGCCGTGAATCTCTTAGGTTTATGATCGCTTTATTTTTCTATATTTTTACTTCCTGACTTGAATTTTTTCCTTTTGTTTTGTTTTCCCGTCGAGGCTGACCCGAGGACACCATTTCTATTTTTGCAGGTAATATGGCGGAACATCGCGAGAGGCTGTTGAAGCTGGCCCAAGAGAGAAAGATCCATAAGAGGTTGGTGAAGTCGCATCAGCCTACACGCATGGGTTCAGTTTCCGAGCCGACCAAGGAAGGATCTAGTGGGTCGTCGGGAACCCACGGTGCCGACCAGCCAGATGTTGTGTCAGGAAGGAAAAGGAGTCGCCCCGTAGATGGGGTTGCTAGTGTGACCGGGGGGCGACTTCCCGAGCCTTCAGCCTCCCATCTTGTTTCGCGGAGAAGGATTTCTTTGAGGGCTTCCCTCTAACTGTGTCTGACAATGAGTTCGACATCATAAGGAGACTCAACGACGAAGGTCAAAGGAAGCATCTGGCTTCCAGTATGGTCGGGGTGATGAAGATGGCCGAGATGGCCGTGGTCCTTGCGGGTGAAGGGGCCAGCTCTTCTGGCCGGGTCAAGGAACTGGAGTCAGAGAACGTGACTCTTCAAGTGAAGACACAAAAATTAAAGACCGCCCTTGAACGAGGTGAAGAGATGTTTCAGGACCAGGCTAATTCTCTAGCGTTGGAGAAAGAGAGAGCTGACAAAGCCCTCGAGGAAAAGGACTGCCTCCCGTTCGACAAAGAATTATGGGAGAGCAAAAGGGAGCGGATGGAGAGGGAAGTCGCTGATCTGAAGGCTTCTATAGCGCCTGCGGAGGACAAACCCAAGCATTTAATTGATTTGCACACTCGCATTGATTTTGTTCCTCCATTCAACTCCTCGAGTCAGATTGTGTCGATACTTTGGCCGATGGCTTTGATGTCGTCGTGAATCAGCTGTCTGTGTTGAACCCGAGGCTCAATGCTAAAGGAACCAAGGTTCTATCCCAGGTGATTGATGGCTGAGTGGTTACTCCTCCTGACTCTCCTGAGGTCGAAGTAGGCACTCCAAGGAGTGATTGGCATTTTTTAACTTAGCTGTTTGTATTTGGCCCTGCGTGCCCACAATTTTGTAACATTCAGACATCGTCGGCTCTAGCGGTCGACATGTATAAATGCTTTGCTTTGCTTCAATGCCTTTATGTTTTTTCCGATGCTTGCTTATTTTTTGCTCGTCATTGTTTTTGACTTAATTATCCCATGAATATTTGTAAGTTCCATGTATGGAGATGTATGGAGATGTATGTTCGACCTTTGTCATGGTCGACGCGAGTTAGTTTTTTTCATGTGTGGAGATGTATGCTCGACCATCTTATTTTTCGGCACATGTTTGGATGTGTCGAAGAGGCGGAGTAGGGATCTGCGAAACGAGTGTAAGACCGCAGTCGAGATCTTAAACTCGTGGCGTGAACTGCCCATTGCAAGCTGGGTATTCTGCCATGTTGGGTACTTCGACAGAAGAGCTCGATCGAGGTGTCCCTGTCGGGCTAGGATCTTGCTCGTGAATGAACAAATCCCGCCTTTAGCTGATGTTTGGAGGCCATGTCCGTACCTAGATACGCCTACATGGTCGAGCTCATCCCCTCGTCGGTTAGAAGGGATTGGTCGACTGCTAAGTCCTTAGCGGGTAAAAGACTTAGCTATAGTATTGTTTTAGCTTCGCAGCATTCACGGGTCGAAGTAATGGTTCTCCGTTTAATTGTTTGAGGTAATATACTCTGGTGCCCGTAGCTCCTTGGATGCGGTAAGGCCCCTCCCAGTTTGCGGCCAACTTCCCTTCGTAGTAATCTTTCTGGTTTCTTTGCAAGACTAGGCTGCCGACCTGAAATTCTCGCTTTATGACTTTGTTGTCATGGCGTAAGACTACCTGCTGTTTTAGCATGGCCTCGCGAAGAGCTACTCCTGATCGAATTTCTTCGACAAAGTCGAGCTCATTTATGAGGGCCTCGTCGTTTATCTCCTAGTCGAGGGGCTTTTCGGTTCGCATGGTCGACTGGATCGGTAATTCCGTCGTACTCCTTAAGATGGGGAGGTTTCTCCATATCTGGGGGAATAAGTGCCTCTATAATAGCTTGTGATAGGAGACCGCGGGGGTCGTCTTCATTGCTTATGTCTGGAGATCGAGAAGGCGACCTGTTGTAGTGGCGGTCGTGATGACGGCCCTGGTCGCGTGGAGGATTCCTTAGGCGGTGTGGTCGTTAGTCGTTTCCCCTGTTCCTGTTTCCAGGGGATGTCTGGTCTTGACGCGGGGGGACGTGATCTCGTCTCCTCGTATCTACGGGCTGATCCCTCTCCAACGCAGGGCGTCGCTCGATTGGTTGAGGAGAGGTGCTTCGAGAGGCATCCTGTCCGCGTCTCTGTGGGGGAGATTGGGGACGGTCCTCTATTTGACGAGGAGGAGGAGAATCAGGCCTCCTATGTCTTCTGGGGGCTCTCCGAGAATCTTCGAGCGCCCTTAATCTCTCCCCTGCGAAAAGATCAAGTAGTTTATTTAATTTATTGCCGCGAACAACGCCTTGGTCGTGGCATCAGCACTCGCAGGAACGGGGACCTCCTGGAACACAGGCGACTGATAGTTCTGGAGAGGACGACATCTGATATCAAAATTTTTTCTATTGTTATGAATGACCGGATATCAGTATCATGATATCTGATTCGATATCTGACATCTGTGTATCAGAACTTCAGCTCCAATCATAATGTTACCCAATTTGAACGCCATTAACCTTTCTTCTTAAACATTATTAAATTTGGAAAATTTACATCTCTTCCTCCTTTTGTCTCTCTTAGGAGGGATATCCAATTCTGATATGTTCCTGTAATCTATGAATATGGAGTAATTCTTCATGACAAATCCTCCTCTTTCAATTCTTCCCTTCTCAACATTCCAATATTGTTTTCTAACATTCTAGTTTTTGTTTCCTTTTCTCTTTACCTCTGTTCAGCCATAATCACCATTTTTCCTTCTCCAAAAACTATGAAGATGCTTTAGTTTTGCTATGGAGATTTATGTTTGATAGTTGATCTAAAAGTTAGAGAGAAGTTAAAGCTTCTCTCATCTTTCACTTCTTATTTTTAGTTTTCGATTTTGTGTTACAGAATATCAAATAAATTAGTCTTAATTGTTATATACATGTGAAAGTATATTTTAATTAAAAAAATAAAAATATTATTTTTTAATATTTTAAACTTTATTTGAAATAATGATTTTGTAAAGTTTTACAAATATTTCTGTTATATTATATTATTTATTTAAATAAAAACAAATAAATTATTAGAACTTAATTGTATTTGTTGATAATGTAAAATAGGTTAACTCAATTGTCTATTTGAACTTTTTCATTTAGATATTTATTTAATTTTTAGAAAAAAATATTTATATAGTTAAACTGTAAGTTTTAAATGAATATTTTTGTTATAAACAATATACCATCACATATAAATTAAATTCGAATAATTATTAATAAAAGAGTAATTTAGTACACAAAGAAGCTATTTTTAGAAGGATTTAAATCAACGACTTCAGAGTCATAATAAAATAATTTTACTGCTATTCTTTTTAAATATATATTAATATTTTAAAATTTAAAAAATAAGAATTATAAATAGAGAAAATAATTCAATATAAAAATTACAATAAAATAGATATTTAACATGTTGATAAAACAACAATTAGTATTTTCTTCCTTTTAAAAATAATTTTTGAACTAATTTATTTGATTTTAACATGTCAACCATCATTATCGTTTGATGGAAATGTTAGTCGTTGTGGTCTCCTAATGACTTAGTAGTAGGTAGGCTATTCAATATAGTGGTCCTGGTTAGTTATAAATTGAGAATTCATGTAAGGTTGTGATTAAATTTTAATATTTAGATTAGTAGTTTTATTTTCTCATTTAAAAGACATATTAATAAAATATATTAGTGTAATAATCTTTTAAATTATATAAATTATAATTAGCGATACACATTACTCCCGTAAAATAATTTTTAATCTATAAAATTATTATCACCAATTTATTAATAATTTATTTTAATTATATTTATGTGAATGTCACATTTTATTCCTCTCCTGTACCTCTCAATTAGTCAATATATAATTATGTATTAATGGTGATTTGTAACACATATACAAAAAAAAACAGTAAATCCTAAGTCATAATATCGTAAATTCAATTGGATTTATTGTTATTCTAATATTTTCCTTGTCTTTTTTCCTGTAAATTCTATTTAATTATATTAAAAAATAAATAAAAACATGTATTTTTTTCTCCTATTTTAGTATTCTTGCCATTTTAATTCTATTAAAAAATAATGAAAAATATTTATAACTAATTATGTTAATTTAGAGAATAACTATTACAAATAAATAGATAATCTTAATAGAATTATTTTTAATAATTAATTAATTATTACTAATAATTTTGTTGACAATTATAAATAGTCTTACCTAAAACAGTACTACTATTCGATAAAATATGAGTAATAATATAAGAATCTCGTTAAAGAAACAAGTTAAAAAAGATATTAAAAATCTAACATATTAAGTTAAAAAAATTAAATACCTAATATACGAAAATTTTGTATATAAGTGCATAAAATATCATTATCCACACTAAAATACTATGTCTAATGTATTTTCTACATATAACTCGTATAGTTAGTATAAATTCAAAATATATATATAATATTAATTAATGTGAAAGAGATTATAATTTTATTTTTTAATATAAAATTGGTGTTAAAGTATCAAAGTGATTATATAATAAAATAAGAACAAGTTGAACATAGTCAAATATAGGAGTATAACAGAAGAAAACTCAGACACGTTAGAGATAGTGTGATAGAAGAGAAAATGGATTTGAGTGAGTTGAAAAAAGCGGTGGAGGAAGTTGAACTTGTAGATGGCCATGCTCACAACTTGGTTGCACTTCACTCCAATTTTCCTTTCATTCATGCCTTTTCTGAAGCACAAAGTGATGCCCTCGCTTCTTCACATCACTCTCTATCCTTCAAGGTAACTACTCCTTTTTCATCTATGCACAGTTGAAACTTGAAACAACTTTTTCTTAATTGTTTCATGCTATGAACATGAAGGGACATAAAAGTCAACAATATTGCTTATGTGTGTTGTGATTTCTCTCTAGTACTAACACCTTTGAAAAAATATTGTGTTGGTGTCGTGTATTGTGTTGGTGTCCGTGCTCGATAGAGTAGTTTACAAGTCAAAGTTTGTTCAACCTTATTATATATGGAGTTTGAAATATTTTTTGCATGTGGAATGTTATTATGACAGTCTATAATATATGTAATGTTCAGAGAAATCTAAGGGATTTAGCTGAGTTGTATGGATGTGAGTCATCTTTGCGAGGTGTTGAAGAATATCGAAGAGTCTCTGGATTGGAATCCACGTGTTCGACATGTTTCAAAGCTGCAGGAATCTCTGCCATACTTATTGATGATGGGTTAGAATTGGACAAAAAGCATGATATAGAATGGCACAAGAGTTTTACGCCTTTTGTTGGTAGAATCTTAAGAATCGAAAAAGTGGCTGAGAAAATCCTTGATGAAGTGAGATTTATTTAGACATTGATTTTTGATATGCTTGATATATATAGTTTTGCAGTTGTGTTGATAATGTGTGATACTCTCTGAAGGATGTTTCGGTTGGATCTCGCTGGACATTGGATTCGTTCACTAAAGCATTTGTCTCAAAGTTGGAATCATATCCTTTATATGTATTAATACTAGCAAGGTTTTAAATAACTGTCGCGCTCACATAAATGTTTTTGCGATTTCAGTCGGTAGAGGTTATGTGATACTGATTGCGGTCTCCCCCATGTGAATTAACCACAACTTATTTTTCATCATAAAAACGGTGAATAATAGTATTAGTATTTCCACGTTTCAATACTGTTTTGTCACAGCCGTTTTCACAGTAATAAACTGTTTTTTAAAACCTTGACTACTATTACTAGTATTGTGAACTCGTATAACGCACAAGTTGAAATTCGTGAAAAGTATTTAACTTAGTTGTGATTTGTAATTTGTTGTGTTTAGTTATTTAGCCGCAACAATGTTTAACAATAAATCACAGTATTCCTTAGCATCATTTAACGGTGGCTGGCGAGATCTTTGGATTGAAAAGCATAGCCGCATACCGCAGTGGCCTAGAAATCAATACAAATGTGACTAAACAGGAAGCCGAGGAGGGTCTCACAGAGGTGTTACTTGGTGAGTTGAATATGAAAATTGGTTTCAAAATATTGTGTTTCGTTGTATTCATATACTTATCATTCTGCATTTTCAGCCGGGAAGCCTGTCCGTATTGCAAACAAAAATCTTATCGACTTCATCTTCTTGCAAAGTTTGGAAGTTGCTCAATCCTATGACTTGCCAATGCAGATACACACAGGGTAATGAATGATTTTCAATTGTCTGATACACATGTTATTACATTCAATCACCCTAATTCCTAGTTTCGTCTTCCTTGTAACTAGGTTTGGGGATAAAGATTTGGATATGCGACTGTCGAATCCTCTTCACCTCCGTTCAGTTTTCGAGGACGAGAGATATTCAAAATCTCGGATTGTTCTTTTGCACGCGTCCTATCCATTCTCAAGGGAAGCATCATATCTAGCATCTGTGTACTCCCAGGCAAACATTTTATAACTTAATTAGTTGTGTTAGTAATTTCGAATATGTATTACATGTTCACTCGCAAGTAACAATCTTCTCATTCAGGTTTATCTTGATTTTGGGTTAGCAATTCCAAAGCTTAGTGTACATGGCATGATTTCATCACTGAAAGAGCTTTTAGATCTGGCTCCAATAAATAAGGTAACATTATAAGCAATTCGAAGAAGTAATCACGATTTTTAGCACTGATCGATGTCTCACAAAAATGAACTTTGTGTCGCAGGTGATGTTTAGTACCGATGGCTACGCATTTCCTGAAACCTTCTACTTAGGTTGGTTAACTTAACATCTACTATGAAACCGAAAATGAAGATTATACTTGAGTCATTTATGTTGCTTAACATAATGAGTTATGTATTCACAGGTGCAAAGAAGTCTCGCGAAGTTGTTTTCTCGGTTCTGCGTGATACATGCATTGATGGCGATCTCTCAGTTTCCGAGGCTGTGGAAGCTGCAAAAGATATCCTTGCTAGAAATGCAATCAATTTCTATAAGATTAACTTTTCTAACAGTGCTGTTAGTTCACATAATATTTTACCCCTAAATGTGATTGATGAGTTAGAGAGTAATGTTTCATTTGTTCGTGTAATATGGGTCGATAATTCAGGACAGCAAAGATGCCGTGTGAGTTCTCTCTACCCTGTTCGCGTCAATGTGGAGATTTTTTATATTTATATTATGTTCTGAGGTGCTGCGCAATTTTGTTTCAGGCTGTTCCTAAAAAGCGTTTCAATGACGTTGTTACGAAAAATGGGCTTGGTTTAGCGTTTGCGGTTATGGGAATGACTTCATTTTTGGATGGACCTGCACCTGGTTCTGGTTTAGGTTCAGTTGGTGAAGCAAGATTAACACCTGATTTGTCTACTATAAGGACAATTCCTTGGTACACAAGCAAGATGAATTCTTTGTCTGCTGAAATATTTGTTTAGAAGACATATGAATAATTTACACTGACGCAACTCTGTTTCGTTATTATAGGAGCAAGCAAGATGAAATGGTTTTAGGTGATCTGAATGTTAAACCGGGCCAAGCATGGGAATTTTGCCCAAGAGAGACTTTAAGAAGAGCTTCCAAAATTCTTAAAGATGAATTTGACTTGGTATGTTGCATATCTGATGTTATTTAGGATTTATAATCGTGCTTAACTTATCAGAAATGATATTTTGACAACAGAAAAGTGGTTATGTACCTTAGAACGAGTGTCAACAACTGTGCTGAGTGCATTTTTAAACGGTTTCGGGTTTGTGATGTTCAAATAACAATTTATATTCTGCTTCTAGGTAATGAATGCAGGATTTGAGAACGAGTTTTTTCTCTTGAAGAGCCTAACAAGGTATGTCATACAATATCATCTTCTGATATGATTAGTAAAATTTACCATGCCAATTATTTATTATAAACATGAAGAAAATCGTTTAGGGAAGGGAAAGAAGAATGGATCCCATTTGACTCGAGTCCTTACTGCTCCTCGTCAGCGTTTGATGCTGCTTCCACCATACTTCGCGAAGTTGCGTCTGCTTTACATTCTATAGGCATTCAAGTAGAACAGGTAAATATTAAGTTGCTTCTGATTCCACATTTGTTTTGCTTGAAACAACGCTTAAATAGCACCCTCTGAAAAAATTGCAGTTACATGCAGAAGGTGGAAAAGGTCAATTTGAGTTGGTTTTAGGACATACCATTTGTAGTAAAGCTGCTGACAACTTAGTTTATACACGCGAAACCATTAGATCTATTGCTACAAAACACGGTTTGCTTGCAACTTTTATTCCAAAGTAAGTGACAATGTTGCTCTTATATGTATATATGGTACTCCAGTAGCGGCTAACAGTAGAATTTTTTCGTATTAAAGGTATGCATTAGATGATTTTGGTTCTGGATGCCATGTTCATCTAAGCTTGTGGCAGAATGGTCGAAATGTATTTATGGCATCTGATGAATCATCAAAGTATGGAATATCAACTTTGGGAAAAGAATTTATGGCCGGAGTTCTTCATCACCTTCCTTCAATTTTGCCATTTGTAGCACCGCTTCCTATCAGGTTTCTGTTATCGAAAACAACTCATTCTCCTAAACTATGCTTATGTGTTTTCTTAAATCAGAAAAGCGGCGGATGAGAACTTGATGTCGGAACACAACAAATCACACTTCCGTGTTTTCTTACATCAGTACTCAATTTGATTGCAGTTACGATCGGCTCCAGCCCAACACATGGAGTGGCGCATACTTATTCTGGGGAAATGAAAATAAGGAGGCTCCACTGCGAGCTACATCTCCGCCTGGAACTCGTAGCGGTTTTACAAGTAATTTTGAGATTAAATCATTTGATGGCTCCGCAAACCCGTACCTCGGCTTAGCTGCTATAATTGCTGCTGGCATTGACGGGCTTCGCAGGCATCTTTCCCTTCCTGAACCTGTTGGTAAGATAATATATAAACTATAAGATTTTCCCCCTAATTCGTTACCATTTTCTTCCGCGTCGATCTTTCATGTTCCCCTTGCTGATCTGCACGGTGGTTGCATAATATTTTTTTGGTTATATCATTGTATGAAACAGATACAAATCCAAATCCAAAAAACCTTCAGCGATTGCCAAAATCACTTTCGGAAGCTTTGGAAGCTCTCGATAAGGCTGACTTCCTTGAGGAATTTATTGATGTTAAGTTGCTGACTGCGATAAAAGCAATTCGGAAGGTATAATAATTCCTTAAGATATGAAAAACTTTTTACCATTATGTGATTCTCTCAGCCAAACTACTAATGTAACTTATTATGGCAGGCTGAAAGTGATCATTACTTGGAGAACAAGGAAGCATACAAGCAACTCATACATCGTTACTGATTATATATTTTAATGGTTTGAATTTACATTTCTGTGTTTAGTGATTATAGTTAAATTAAGAATAATTGTATCTTAAAACTGAGGATCAATAATCGCCATAAAAAAATATGTTATCGATAATCAGAAAAATGTCTGTGTTTATTTATTTACACCTAATTTACACATGTACTAAGATAGTTTACTTTTCTTAGAAACCAACTTAATTAGAAACCAACTTGGATCTTCAGTATTTCCTTAAGAACTAAAATTAGAATATTTTTAAATTTTTTTTGATCCTCCTTCAATTTTTTGCAGAGGTAACATGGAGACGTGACATGTTAAATTAATAAGTGGCAATGATATGTCAATAACATTGTGGTTTCACCTAACCAATTTTTGATATGTTATTTGATTAAAATTAAGTATTAATATTAAAAAATAAAATAATACAATTAATATGACAACATTTTAAGTTACATTTTATAAAACTATCATTCTATTTGAAATTCTTTTCAACGACAAGATGTTACACAATGTTGAGACACAGTGTAAAAAAATATGATTTGAAAGGATCAAAGAACAAATACAACAACATAAGTCTTATATTCTATTAAAAACTATGTTTTTATCTAAATTATTAATTCTTAGATCTTTTTAATAATTTTTCTTATAATTTTGTTGGATCTTCCTCTTTATCAAATTGTTTGTCTTCTCTCCATCTAGTATACTCTCCTTACTACAGGAATTTATAGGTCTTTTACCTACATGCTAAAACCATCTAAGTCTATTATCCATCATTTTCTCTACTATAAGCGATACCTCGACACTCTCTCCAATAATTTTATTTCTAATGTTATCATGTCGATTCTTCCCACACATCGACCGCAACAACCTCATATCTGCTACACTCACTTTATTCTCGTGTTGATTCTTAACTGCCTAATATTTTGTCTCATACAAAATCGCAGGTTTTACCGTAGTCCGATAAAACTTTTCCTTCAACTTGAGAAGTACGTTTGCATCACATAAAACATCAAGTGCCTTTTGTTAAATTGTAATTCATAGTGTCGAAAAAATTAGATTTGTTTAGATTTAAATAGATTTGATTTAAATCTAGAATATATTAGATTTGATTTAGTAACAAAATAGATATTTTAGGCTTTGGGCTTAAGGTGTAAGCTCAGTTATAAATAGAGGGAGTAACCCCTATTTTTTGTAAGCAAATCAAGCAAGTCATTCACAATATTTTGCAGTTATAAAGTGAATAATAAAATTTTCACAGTTTGTGAGTAGAGAGAAACTCTGCAGAAATTATTTGTCTTGTCTTCATTCTTTGTTTGTCTCATAATTAAATTGTCATTGTGGTAGAAATTCATCATAGACTTTGGTGAGTTTCCAACATCTGGTATCAAGAGCTTTTGTTTCAATTCGAGGAAAGTGTCAATCGAGAACGGTTGAAGAATTTACGATGGCGAATTATGGGATTGTAAATTATCCAACAACTCTACCAACTCTAAAAGTAGACAACTATAAGAATTGGTGCAAACAGATGAAAGTCTTGTTCAGGTGTCAAGGACTTTGGGACCTTGTAAAAGATGGAGTCAAAGTGCTTGAAGAAAACGCTTCAGAAGAAGAAAAGAAGAAACACATAGTGTTATACCCCAAAATTTTCCCTCCCATATTCTTCAAGAAATTGCCAAGCCAAGTCACAAAAGTCCCCAAGGGTTGCACAGTGCAAGGGCCTCCTAAACAGTCAAAATTAGGGTTTTGAGTCTGATCAAGAAAAGGAAGTGTTCAAAGGCTCAATCAAGTCTCATATGCTTACAAACATGGTCAAGCATCCTCATATCAAGTTTCAAGGCATTCAGCTCAAGATTGCACAGTCAAAACCCTAAATTGCACTACAGTCAACTGTAGGGGCAAAATGGTCATTTGACAGTCAAAAGTTCAAATTTTTGGTCAACATCTCATTTTGAGGCCACAAACATCATTTGATCAATGCTTGATCATGATTCTCAAAATTTGGCTCAGAAAATCATCAAGATGCAAAAGTTTCCTTATTTGGACAGCTGAAAAAGTCAACTGAAATTGACCAGGGCATAACTTTCACATGGATTATCAGAAAAATTCCATCCAAAGCTCATTTTGAAGAGAAAGACATTTCCTACAACTCATCTTCATACTTCAAGTCCAAGAAATGCTCTCACAAAAAGTTATCAATTTCAACATTATAGGTCATTTTCAAAAGTCAACAAAAAGGGACTTTAAGTCAAAGGCCATAACTTGAGATTGGAAAATCAAAATGACATGGAACCAAAGGCATTGGTTAAGGACTCAAAGACCTTTCCAAAATGTCCAAGAACATGAGAAAAGCTTAAAAATTGAGCAAGTTATGCATTGGAGAAGTTGGGAAATTTTTGTGAAATGGCAAAAGTCAACTATCCTTGAAACTTCAATTTTTGACAAAAGGGCCCACTTTCTTCCACTTGATTCAGCCTTGTCATGCCACACACGTGTCCCATGATTAATTTCAAGATCAAACATTGATTTTTCTATTTTATTTAATTTTTGATAATTTAATTCATTTTAAATCTTTAAAAATTCAAATAAAATTTAAAAATCAATGGAATAGTGTCATTTGAATTGGAATAGCTTCCATATATCATGTGCCAGCTCACAAACTCATGCTAGGGTTAGGTGGTACACCAAGTCTTGGTTTTGCTTAAAAAAGGGAAAGTTTGTTAATGGTGAAAGACCTAAGACTAATTCTCTCATGGGCATGGATCAAGGCCAGCTAATGACCTAATTCCCTTCCCTCATAAGTGCTGAGTCAAAACCTAATGCCCACACACTGAATGTTGCGCAGGAGACACCATTGCCAACTTGAAAAATTGCCATAAAACTCAAAACTGAATTCATTGATAGAGGTGGATTCAAGTCCTAATATTGATTCTAAAAGCTTCCTTGTGGTCCCCTGAACGCATTCCAATCATTAACATCCATCAAAACGCCCAGAATTGGTACCATGGATTCAAGCTGTGTCAAACAAAATGCATAATCGTATCTTCACATTCAGACATTTTCATTATGTTTTTTCTATGCATTCATGTTAACTAACGTATTCTGAAGCTAATCATGTAGTTTAATTTCGTTTTCATGCCATATTTGGAGATTTGCCATTGACAACTGTTAGGGTTTACAGAAGCTTGAAATTGGGGTTTCTCAAATTAGGAAAAATCAGGACTCCAGACCACCACCATTGCAATCAGCAGACTTAGACGAAGAAGAAGCCATGGTCGCGATTAATTTATGAGTTGTATAGCGCTAGTCGCTATTTTCTCTAAAGCAACCCTGAACCACGCTTAAGAAACCGTTGCCATATGGTTTTGTTTTCAGGGAAGGTGGAGAAGACGATTACATGTCACACGCTGACTGGCTCATTTAAATTCGCGCGCGTTCTCCAGCCTTCATCCGCTTTTGTTTTATATTGTTTATTTGATAATATATATTAAATGTGATTAAAGTGGTTCAGTGGCAGGTACCTATGCATGCAACGTCCAAGACCTGGGTTCGAACCCCAGGTCTGTGTAAATTTCAATATTATTTTTCATTCACAAATCCCATGCAGCGCTTAATGACCAGATGTACCATGCACCTCTAGATCAAGTGTGACACGTCTCCCTGATGACCAGATCAATGGCCCAGATCCAAGGAGTATGATGAACTCCAGTCAACGCTGAAGCAGGCTAGCAAAAAATTCAAAGATGGACCAAAGCTTAATGGGCCAGCATTCTAAGGCCTATACCTCACAATTGGGACTGATACCCCCTGGTTTGCAATTTCCTTTTTATTTATTTTGTTTTTTTTCAATTCTTATTTTTATTGTTTTAATTTAATAAATTATTTTTACCATATATATAAAAATATCACAAAAAAATCAGAAAAGATGACAAATATAATAAATATTTAATTTAATTATTTTCATAAATAAATTAACATGTAAATTAACTTAGTATTAATTTAGGTTGCAACTTTAATTCTTTTCATAAAAATATAAAAAAATATAGAATTAGGCTTAATAATTTTTTATTCCTTTTTTAATTTTCTTTTTTCACCATAATATTATTTACTTTATTTATTTTCATAATTAAATTGTACATAAAAATTAGGGTTTCATTTAGTTAAAAATTTCAATGTTTTCTTAATAACTAAAAAATAATTAGAACTAGGGTTTGACATTTTATTTTCATCATAATTAATTCTCTTTTTTCTATTAAACTTAAAAAACACAAAAATATCAAAAAAACATTTTCTTTTAATTTTAATTTTAATTCCTCATTAACTTTAATTTTTTGCAAAAGGGTCCAACGCCCTCGTTCGTAATTTATTTAATTCGCACATTTATTTTTACTTGCTTAAATAATTATGTATCTCTCCCAAAGCGTTGTAACATTTACTTTTCGCACTTTTATTTGCTTTCTTTACTTTCCGTCAAATCGGGTCCGGTTTAATTTTGGCGATGTGGACCCGCGCCATTTGTAATAGTTTAGATTTATTTTCCCGCAAATTTTAACTGTTAAATAAGCATGCAAGAATGAATGACTTAAATAAAATCAAGCGTAGAACACCTTAACATGACAAGACAAATATCAATGAAAACGACACACAATTCGCACACACCACCCCTAGGGTACGCCTCACTGTTGCCTTGCCTTCGAAAGGTGATCGTCGAGTAGAGGATGTCTTAGTAAGTCCTCATGATCCGGGAACCTGGCATGAGGGTAGCTTCTAAGGTGTCTTCCTATTGCTCTGGTGATCACCATGTCCCGAACCTCGAATTGACCCGAATACCTCCAACGGTGGTGCTACCTACCTCTCAATGGTGGGATGGCACTACTTTAAAGGACATTTACACAGACGAATTCCTTAGGGTAGGTAGGTTCTCGTGGATACTTGCTCTAATTCAAAACAAAACAAATCAAAAATCTTTTCACACCGACACTTTTCAAAAGCTTTCAAAG